CATGTTCAGGGTGAAAGACAGAAAAGATGAGCAGGGAAAAAAAATGTCAGTGGCCTCCACCTGTAAAACCATTCCTGTTTTGGGAGTTCTCATTGTTGCCCATCTAGTGCACCTGTTGTTAATTTCATTAACCTCAAAGCAGCTGAAACTGATTATCAACCCCTCTGCTACTAAACTGGCCAGATCAATATGCCAGGAGTTTAATTGACTTGATGCTATACTCTGATTAAAAAGTGTTCCTTTAATTTCCTTTAATTTTTTTTTGGAGCAGTGTATTTGGATTTCAGGGTAGGAGGCACGCATGCAGCCCTACCCGCGCTGTCATTGGCTTACAAAGATTTCAATCTCTGGGTCCCAGCCAGCAATTCATGTCCGAGATTCGGTGATTGGCGGAGAAGCTGAAAGGGCAGAGAACTGTGTGTAAACAACACAGATCTATGTCCTGTCAGTGGGGATGTGCTGCCTTCTCTCTCTCTGCAAAGCAGAGAGAGAGAAAGCAGCATATCCCCTAGTACAGGGGTGGGCAACTGTGGCCCTCCAGCTGTTGTAGAACTACAAGTCCCATGAGGCATTGCAAAACTGACAGTTACAAGCATGACTCCCAAAGGCAGAGGCATGATGGAACTTGTAGTTCACCAACAGCTGGAGGGCCACAGTTGCCCACCCCTGCTCTAGCAGAATACTACACAGTAATCACAACACCATACACTGTTAACCCTTTGATCACTCCAGACGTTAATGACTTCCTACCCATTAGTATTGGTGCTTTTTATTAGCATTGATCACTGTATTAGTGTCACTGGAGATGTCAGTTGCAGATAGTTCCCACCCAGTGTCAGAATGCCTGCTGCAGTCCCGCTGTAAGTCGCTGATCGCTGCCATTACTTGTATAAAAATCTAAATAAAAATTCCAGTATATATACAGCCATTTGTAGATGCTATAACTTTCATGTAATCCAATTAATATACACTTATTGGTGTTTTTTTTTTTTTTTTTTGTTTTTTTTTTTTTGTTTTGTTTTTTTTTTTTTTTTTTTTTTTACCAAAGCCATGTAGCAGAATTTTAGCATAAAATTTATGAAGAAATTTTATTATTTTTTTTATTGGATATGTTTCATAGCAGAAAGTCAAAAATATTGTTTAATTTTTTTTTTGTTTTTTTTTTTTAAATGGTTGGTCTTTTTTTTTTTTTTTTGTTTATAGCTCAAAAAAAATGAAAACCGCAGAGGTGTTTCAAATACCACCAAATGAAAGCTCTATTTGTGGGGAAAAAAAGCTTCATTTATGTACAGCATTGCATGACCATGCAATTGTCAGTTAAAGTATCACAGTGTCGTTTTTTGCAAAAAATGGCCTGGTCTTGAAGGGGGATAAATCTTCAGGAGGGCAAGTGGTTAACGGAAAAGGTGGTTCAACAAAATACCTGATACAAGGGGGTTATCCTTTTTCCTACTCGGTGATTCTGTTTTTGAATTTTTTTTTTTTCTGACATGGTGTTATATCTTTCACTTACATAGTTAAATAGTTAATCTGGCTGAAAAAAGACAAAAGTCCATCCAGTTCAACCATAAAAAAAAAAGTTATTATCCTATACCCACAGTTGATCCAGATGAAGGCAAAAAAAAACCCAGCAAAGCATGATCTAATTTGCTCCTACAGGGAAAAAAAAATTCCTTCCTGATCCCCCGAGAGGCAATCGGATATTACCTGGATCAACTTTACTTATAAATGTTAGTGTTCAGTTGTATTACGTGTATCTAGGAAATAATCCAGGCCTTTTTAAAAGCAATCCACTGAGCTGACCAGAACCAACTCTTGAGGGAGTCTATTCCACATTTTCACAGCTCTCACTGTGAAGAAACCTTTCCGTGTTAGGAGAATCAATTTCATTTCCTCCAGATGTAAAGAGTGCCCCCTTGTCCTCTGTGATGACCTCAGGGTGAATAGCTCTACACCGAGTTCACTATATGAACCACTGATGTATTTATACATGTTGATCATATCCCCCCTTATCTCCTCTTCTCAAGAGGGAATACATTCAGTTCCTCTAATCTTTCCTCATAGCTGAGCTCCTCCATGCCTCTTATCAGTTTAGTTCCCCTTCTCTGTACTTTCTCAAGTTCCCCAATGTTCTTTTTGTGAACTGCATATTCCAGGTGAGGTCTTTTTAATTATTTGTACAGGGGTAATATGATATCTCTCTCTCTGGAGTCTATACCTCCTTTAATACAAGAGAAGATTTTGCTCGCTTTTAAAAGTGCAGCTTCGCATTGCATGCCATTTATTAAGCTTGTGATCTACCAGAACTCCCAGATCCTTCTCCACCATTGATTCCCCCAGTTGTACCCCCCCCCCCCGCCCCAGTATGTATGATGCATGCATATTCTTAGCCCCCAAGTGCATCACCTTACATTTATCAACATTAAACCTCATTTGCCACATAGTTGCCAATTAAAGTGCATTGAGGTCGGCTTGTAAATTGAAGACATCCTGTAAGGACGTTATTCCACTGCACAGCTTGGTGTCATCTGCAAAGACTGAAATGGGATTTCTAATCCCAGACCCTATATTGTTTATAAATGCAGTTGTGCTCAAAAGTTTACATACCCTGGCAGAAATTGTGAAATTTTGGCATTGACATTGAAAATATGACTGATCATGCCAAAAATGCTCTTTTGTTGAAGGATGATGATCATATGAAGCCATTTATTATCAAATAGTTGTTTTGCTCCTTTTTAGTCATAATGTTAACAGAAATCACCCAAATGGCCATGAGTTTACATACCCTGGAATGTTTGGCCTTGGTACAGACATGCAAGGTGACACACACACACGGGTTAAATTGCCAATTAGAGGTTAATGTCCCACATCTGTGGCTTTTTTAAATTGCAATTAGTGTTGGTGTATAAATGAGTTGGCTCTTATGTGGAAGCACTGACTAGGCTAGATACTGAGCCATGGGGATCAGAAAAGAACTGTCAAAAGTCCTGCGTAATAAGGTAATGGAGCTTTATAAAGATGGAAAAGGACATAAAAAGATGTCCAAAGCCTTGAATATGCCAATCAGTACTGTTAAATCACCTATTAAGAAGTGGAAAGTTCGGGGATTTCTTGATACCAAGCCAAGGTCAGGTAGACCAAGAAAAATTGCAGCCACAACTGCCAGAAGCATTGTTCGGGATACAAAGGAAAAAACCCATAGGTAACCACAAGAAAAATCCAGGCTGCTCTGGAAAAAGACAGTGTGGTTGTTTTGAAGGAGCACAATATGATGACACAAAAATGAGCTGCATGGTCAAGGTGCCAGAATCTTTTACTGCATCAATGACACAAAAAGGCCTGGTTAGGCATGTCAAGGTGTTGTCAGGCACATTGTAATTGGGCTTTTTTGTGGCATTGGTGCAGTAAAAGCTTCTTTCTGGCACTTCGACCAAACAGCTCATTTTTGTTCAAGTATCACCGAATTGTACTCCTTGAAAACAACCACACCATTTTTTTCCAGAGCAGCCTGTTGTTTTTCTTTTGAGGTTGCCTGTGGGTTTTTTTTTTTTTTTTAATCCCAGACAATTCTTCTGTCAGTTATGGCTGCAATCTTTCTTGGTCTACCTGACCTTAGCTTGGTATCAAGGAATCCCTGAACTTCCCACTTCTTAATAGGTGATTTAACAGTACTGATTGGCATATTCAAGGCTTTGGACATCTTTGTGTCCTTTTCCATCTTTATAAATTCCTTGTTACGCAGGACTTTTGACAGCTCTTTTCTGATCCCCATGGCTCAGTGTCTAGCCTAGTCAGTGCTTCCACATCAGAGCTAACAAACTCATTGACTATTTATACACTGACACTAATTCCAGTGTGTGTCACCTTGTGTGTCTGTACCAAGGCCAAACATTCCAGGGTATGTAAACTTTTGATCATGGCTATTTGGGATTTCTGTTATCATTTAAAAAGGAGCCAAACAACTATTTGATAATAAATAAAAAGTCCACCCCCACCCCTCTATCCAAGGTTTTGCTCACCTCCTCATAAAAACAGATTTGTTTGACAACTTCTGTCTTTCATGAATCCATTCTGTCTGTTGCTTGCTTAAAATATTTGATTCCAGCAAGAACTCATCTATGTGGTCTTTTATTAAACTTTCCAGTATCTTCCCAACTATTAAACTAACAGGTCTATAATTACTTGGTAAAGATTTTAACCCCTTTTTAAATATTGGCACCCCATTGGCCTTACGCCAATCCAATGGTACTATGCCAGTCATTAAAGAGTCCCTAAAAATGAGAAACAATGGCTTTGAAATGACAGAGCTGAATTCTTAAAGGACCTGTGGGTGTATGCCATCCGGTCCAGGTGCTTTATTCACCTTTATACTGTCTAAATATTTTTGGATCATATCAATTGTGAGCCAATGTGGATCATCTGGAGCTGTGTCAATACCATGTCCATTATGGACAAGAGCCTCCCATGCTCCTTTGTATACACAGAGCTGAAGAAGATATTTAATAAATTTGCCTTCTCTTTGTCCCCAGTTACCCACTCTAGATTATTTTGGATGTTATAAGTTGCACTGAGGTTAATACAGCTGGATAAAACAAAAACTGTGTCTTCATTTCAGGCTGCAAAGCAACAAAATGTGATTATTTTAAAGGGGGTGATGCTTTCCTAGACCTACTGTAACAACCAACCCCATTACCATTCCCCTGAGCACTCCCTCCTCACCCCCATCTGCTCAGCTGATATTTTGTTGGGGTAAACAGCCAAGCAGAACATGTACCAGTTTCTAATTTAATCTGAAATAGAAATGGTGTGGGGCAGCAGCTATCTGCTTTGTGAATGTGGTGCCCACCATTCACACCAGTTTCTTGTGCCATTAACAGCACAGGAAGTTTTAATTCCCCCAATTGTGTTTAAAATTATAGCAGTTTAGTCTGTGGTAGATTTTTGAGTTGTTTTGTGTCCCATTTTTTTATTTTAATCATGTTTCTCTGTCTTCTCCTTAGGTGTGTTGTTTGCTCAACCTCCTACCTCAACGTCTGGAATCAGCAAAGGGAGTATCACCCGGACTGCCAGTATGGGAGGGGCCAGTAGCACAACAGTTGCACCACCTTCTGCTCCCCCAGCTCCCTCTTCCAACAGCTCTTCACCCTGACAGTACCGCCAAATCCCAATACAGCTGACGCCAAAAACAAAAGGAAAAAACAAAACACAAAAACAGGAAATTGCTCTGTGTTTCACACTCAGGTTTATTGCTTCTTGTCAGTGGGAAACCCCTGAAATGCATAGTAGGGTTGAGAGGGAGTTTGGGCTGAGCCAGTTTGGGGTCTGAAGTGTCAGCCCCTGTCCTTTGTGAAAAACTCATATACCTCACTTTTTGCACTGCAACAAGACATATTATATATATATATATATATATATATATATATATATATATATATATATATATATATATATATATATATATAAATATTTTTTTTTTTTTTTTTTTTTTTTAAATAATACCTCCATACACAAATAAACACTGCCCACTCCCTCACCCTAACTTTGCTGTCAGGATCCTACTTACATGCGATTTTATTTCTTATTTTAAATTTTTAGTACCGACAAAAGAAGAGATTTTAAGAGGTTTTTGTGTAAATGGCTTTTATTCTTAAAGGAAGGAGAAAAAAATATATATATATTGCTGTATCCCCAGCGCTGGACTTCTATGGGGCACAGAATATCTGTATGATGGGATGTGCCTGCTGCTCTTCAATAGGCTTGTTGGTCTTGCCATTCCCGCCCTCACAGACTCTAGAATGTAATCATGGGGAGCAGGGAGTGTAGACCACTGAATGTTTGGCTTTTTTAAAAATATATATTCCTGTGGTTGCCTGAAGTTTTGGGGTTCGGGTAGCATCTAAACCTCAAGTAGCCTCCACCATTCCATTGATTCCCTCCCCAATGCAACTTTTTTTATACGGGTCATATCAGTTGGCAAAGTCATTTGCTGCAAAGCAGGTTATTCTTGTTTTTAATATTTTTGACCATTATCTTAAATTGTTTTCTGTATTCAGCTGACTAAACAATTGCAGTACATTGCTCGATCAACTTGAAAACAGGTGGCTGGGATGGAAAGTGAAGCACACTGCGGAAAACAATATATGGAGTTCAGGTTTTTCTGGAACATTAACTGAGAATAGATAATGGTTGATTTGTTCATGCCCAACCAAATATCCTGTGCAGGTCAATAAGTAGTGCTCTTTGAAGTTTCACACCATGCCCAACTACTGTTGTCTTGATTGCTCAAACAGTAGCCTAAAATGGATAATATGAGGCTATTTGGATGACTGACCAGAAGATATAAGCCGTATAATGGAGAAACAGCATCTGTTAAATTATGGACACTTTTATATATTTATGCATGTTCCAAAGTAAACTTCCATATTGAAGTGACATGTTCTTTTTTTTCAGCCTCAACAGACATGACATATTGTGTTGGACTGGATGGGTCTCAGTGGCTTCCATAGGGTTTCTGCATCTTCTAGCATATCTGGGACCTAGTATGCATATGCTGTGCAACTTAGCTTGCTTTACTCTGCTGCCTCCCCTCTCTCTGAATATTCTTCTAGCTTAATATTGTGTCCCCTTTTGAACTAGATTTTGTGCATAAACCTTCAAAGTTGTATGTGAAGTTCCACCAGTAAATATTTTACCACTTGCTAGAAGCTTAAATACAGCATTATTCAGTCATATCAAGATTCAGAAATGACTCATTTGTAGGTACTTTCAGAAAGTCCTGCTGCCCTTAATGTCTTGGCAAGTGAAAATTGCAAGGCCCCATAAATGTGAGACAAAGCCATAATGCATGATAAAGCATCAGCCCTGATAAAAGTGATATTTCATATAAAGTTTAAGTACTAAATACCCTGCTGGCACCTTATCGCTCTCTTGAGGACTCCAGCAGTAAGCCCCCCCCCCCCCCCCCCCCCCCCCCCCCATTGCATTCTTCAGAATTTTATTTAAAAAGTTTGGCAGGGAAAGAATTGCCCATGATACTAATGGGCAAAATGAATGGCTCACATGCAGTGATCTTATCACTCAAGTCCCTAAGGGACCTTTGGGTGCTCTAACTTTCCATTGTTCACCTAAAACTGAAATGTCGGTTTGGGTCTTGATGACCCATTAATATGACCTGGTTTGTGGTATGCTTAATAATTCCCTATAGAACCTTGTATACTGTGCATCCTGGATGATGCACAGCTAATTTTATTTTGGCAACATTTTATTTTATATATAAAACACCATCATACTAATATTGATTTTGAGCCTGGTGTCTTGTGATAGATTTCCTTACCCCACTCCCTGTAGCCTTTTACTTCCAAAGACCAGTTCAGTGCAGTATTTTAACTGCACCAAAAACCTCAATGTAGTGTGAGATGTCAAAGAGCGGCCTTATTCGGGGTTGGTCATCCCCATGACTCATGATGATCAGAAATTACAGTCTAAAAGTAGATTTTTTTTTTTTCTACATATTGATCTACTCTTAAGGATAGAGAGTGTGCTGGGCAGGGTATTGTAAGACTCAGGGTGTGTGTTTTTTTCCTCCACCTCCTCTCATCCTCTCGCTGCTTTTCCCTTCATGCCCTAATAATTGGGCTGGGATAGATAGTTTAATGAAATTTTCTCTAATATATATATATATATTATTTAGTGTGTGTGTATTTTACATGAGTTGCTCCATGTGAATCTGAGACAGAGCTGGATTATAACTCAGGGGATATATTGTTTTCTGTGGCTCTGTCTCCTATGCCTGGGGGTTAAGCGGGTAGTTTTGACTTTTTTCTTTTTGTGACTTTTCATCCTTTGTCCCCCACACATGGTTTTGGAGGCAGAATGCTGTACTATATGCATTCACCCTTTTGTAGATTGCCTCAGGGAAGAGACCTGTAAGGGGTGTTTGTGTGATATTCCTTATGGATTCTGGGACTTCACTCCATCTAGAAATTGATCTTCTTTTAGTATTCCCATCACCTACAGAAAAAACTGGAGAAAGTGCATGGATGTGAGAACAGGTTGTCTTTGCATGTGGATATACTGCATTATATCGCCTGCACTGTGCGATACAGGTACATTAGATTAACTTGTAACTACACTGCTCATTTAAGGATTTTAGGTTTCAAAGTAGGAGGCCAAACTTTATAAATTGTAGTACTTATTACCTCACATGGATCCTACACACAGTATATTTTTAAAGGTTGCTCTAGATGTTCTTGACATGTAATGGTCTTCTGGATCCTTGATAGTTCATAAAATCAGATGTCTGCTTTGTCTGAAAGTCTACCTTTCCAGTAGTTCTGATAGTATAGCTAGTCTTACACTGAGCTGACCTAGTGCATTGCCCTTAACCTCCTCAGGGATCATTTGCATCATTTTAACACACATTGTAATTTAAGCCTTTGCTCATAATACAGCCCTCATATCATATATTTTTTTCCTGATGCACTAAATGCCTTTTATTTACATCATGCTAAAGTGCCGAGGTAATGTCCAGTGGCTATGTTTTAGCCTGGGGGCGGTGGGACACCCCAGAACTGTCCAATGGCATGGGACACATTTCTTCTTTCTGTCTTGGCTTTCTGTTTGTATTTTAGGGGTTAGTAGATTATTTAGCAATGTTTGTGAAATATCATTTATTGCTTCTTGCTTTATGGGATTTTTTTTTTTCTACTCTGGTCAATACCATTTCACCACATTGTCCTGTAGCCCTGTGCATTTTCTGCTACACCTAAAGAAAAATGGTGAAGGGAGTATTGGTGAAGAAATGGGCAGTATCCCTTTATTCTGGGTAAATCAGGGCTATATAGCATTTAGTGGTGAAAACAAAACATTGCAGATGAATTATATGGACTCTGTTTATACTAGAGTGGCCTGTGTCTCTTTGTCAATCAGTGTGTGCTGCAAGCCCTTCTGGTGTAAATGGAGTTAAACTCAGGAATGTCACTTCTCTACCTCAAAACTCTGTGGGTATAATTGCTCACATTGCTGGAAACATATTTCACAGGTTTTTTTTTTTTATATTATTATTTTCCCCTCTAATTCTACAGGTATAAGCCTTGTGATTATAAATAGTCTAATGTATAAAAAAGTTTAAAAAAAAAAAAAAAACTGAAAGTTTACATTTTATAACATTATGCAGATTGTATTTAAACTTCAGAATATTTAAAGAAAAAAAAAACAGTTGTAACTCTTGAGCTTGATGAAATATTAAAAAAAATCTTTTAAAATATTGTGGTGTTGCATTTATTAATGTGTGTTTTTGCTATTTTGTTTGAGGCAAAATATGCACATCTCTATTGAAAACTTTCTGGAATGAAAAAGTTGCCAACATATTGCCCATTCCTAAGTCACTATTATGTATGTGTTTTACAAGATGCTGAAGATACGGTTTCTGTTTTAACATTGTGTGCGTTTTTACAAGAATAAGACCATGTGCATAAAATGTATTTTTTAGAGACTGTTTTTTTTTCTGTTTGATGTGATTTCTAACAAAATTTAAAAAAAAAAAAAAACCCAGACTGACAATGTTATTGAAACTGTCATGTTTATAATTGGTTAGTGGCAGTCACTTCTATCCTGTACTTACTGCTATGAAATGTTTGTTTTTCTGCTGGAAACTTGACAACAAAGTCAAGGGAATGCTGTCATTCTCTAGTGATAACTCTCATACCATCTGCGTTTTTAATGGCTGCATTAAAGTGACCAGTGAACCATGGTTCAGTGGCGGTGCATAAAATTAAATTACATGTGATGCACAAAAACTAATAAGTAAATGTGGGAATTGTATTACCCCTCTTTACCTGATGGAATCTGTAAGTGCATTGACTAAATAAATGTTGCAGTTTACATACAGATCTTCATTATGGAAGGTATCCTTTGTCTTTCCTTATGTATGATTTCCAGTGCATGTTTGTGACCACATTACGAGCAGGTGTCTCTTTGGCAAGTGGTTACCTATTTGGTGCTGGCCTGCTGTCAGTTGAAGCGGAGTAGTCCCATGGGGATGTGAGAGTTCACTACCACCTAAAGCTTGTTTTGTCCACTATATATTAGTGGTCACATAACTGTGGTAAGCCTCTGCCGGTTGGACTTGGGTGGCATGGTGTGCTAGAA